CTTCTTCACCATCTTGAGCCAGCTTTGTTACTTGGTTGTAGGTTTCTATGGCAAAGCAGAATGCTTTTTTTTTTTTCTCTTAAAAACCATTTGAGAATAGGAAGTTGGTATGATAGCCAATGCCAGTGGTGACAAAGGGATTGCTTTTCTTCTTCTTCTTCTTCTTCTTCTTCCTTTTTCCTTTTTTTTGTTTACAAGTTTTAACTTATTATCTTCCTAGAGAATTGAACTTTTTATGATTAGGTAGTGACTCTATGTTAAGGGCAGTTTTGTCTTTTTGTCTTAAATCTCTATTTAAAAATAATGTTTATAAAGCTTTGCCAGCTTAAATTTGGTTGAGTAGTTGCTTTCCATATCTTTATCAACCTTTTTAGTTTTAATGGTTCTGTAATGTAATGTTTTGGCTTTGTCTCATAGATAACAGTCAATTTAGTTTTACATTTGTATCCATTTTGATTATATATAGTAGGCAGTTTAACATTTATTGTGATGTATTGATTTGTTGATAACTGATACTTTTGTTTTTACTGTCCTACTTTGTACATTTTACTTGTTCTATTTTTCTGTGCTTCTCCTTCTCTTCTTCTCCTCCTTCTTTTGAGATTGTTTGATTTTTCCTTCTCCTTTCTCTTCTTCTCCTTCTCTTTCTCCTCCTTCTTTTGAGATTGTTTGATTTTTCATTTTTCCTTAATGGGTTATTATTGTTTTGGAAGTTAAACATTCCTTTTGTCCTTCTGAGCATTTAGAATACTATAACTACACTTTATATAGCATAAGTGTAACCAGCATTTAACTCCCTTATTGACCAGCATAAGCACTTCAGAATATTTTGACTACAACTAACCCCCTGTCTGACTTGTATACTATTGTTATTCTGTATTTTAATTAGGCTTTTACAAATTAATCCACAAAATAGATATTATTTTATGTAGATGAAGTAAGTTTGTTTAGATTTATCTACATTTTTACCAATTGCTTCACTATTCCTTCTTGTATCTGAGTTCTTCCTTTTAGGATCATCTTTCTTTTTCTTAAAGTATATGCTTCATACAGTCCTTTAGAGAATACCTGTTGGTATTAAACACTCAGTTTTTTCTTTCCTAAAAATACCTTTATCTTTTAAAACTGATTTAATTTATGTTTAGAGAGGGAGAAGCGTGGGAGAAAGAGAGGAAGAGAAACTTGGGTGTATGAGAAAAACATCAATCAGTTGCCTCTTGTACACCTCCAAACAGGGTCCTGGCCTGCAATCCAGGCATGTGCCCTGATGGGGAATTGAACTGGTGACCTTTCAGTTTGCAATATGATGTTCAACCCACTGAGTTGCACCAGTCAGGGCAATGCCTTTATTTTGGAAAGACAGTTTTATAAGGTTCACAATTCTTGATTGACCATTATTATTTTTTGGCACACCGAAAATACAATTTTACTGCCTTCTAGTTCCTTTCTTCCTGTGGAGAAATCTCCTGTTAGTCTAATTGTGGTAGGTTTGTGGTACTGTAGGTGACCTTAGTTTTCTCTCTGGCTACTTTAGATTCCTTCTCCCTCACCCCCCATGTGGTGTTTTGAAGTTTTACTATAATGCGCCTAGGTGAGGATTTGTTTTAATGTTTCCACCTTGTTTGTATGGGTATACATACATTCTGGTGACATATGCTGTATCTGTACATTCATACCTTTAATCAGTTCTGAAATCTCAGTTGTTATCTCTTTTGATATTGTCTCATTTTTTCTATTCCCTCTGTCTGGGTCTCTAACTGGATGTGTTAGAACTTATCATTTTAGCTTCCATTGTTCCTAGTCTTGTTTTCATATTTTTTAATTTCATCATCTCTTTCTGTTGCAAATTTAATAATTTCTTCAGTTTGATTCCCATTCAGGGTGTGTACCTAGGTGGTGGATTTGATCCCTTATTGGAGTACATAAGGAAGGCAACCAATCAATGTTTCTGTCTCACACTGAAGCTTCTCTCTCTCTCTTCAATCAATGAAAACATCTTCAGGTGAGAATTAGAAAAATTAGTTTTTATTTCTAAAAGCTCTTATTTGGTTTCTCAAATCTGCCTGCCATTTTTGATTTATTATCCAAATACCCACTTTTAATAGAAACTAACAAGTGTTGATGAGGATGTGAATGTTGAAGACACTATACTAAGTGAAATGAGCCAGACACAAAAGGCAAATTCTGTGTAATTCCACTTATGAAGTGCCTGGAGTAGCACATTCATAGAAACAGAATGTAAATTCTGGTTGCCAGGGATGGGAATGGGGGGTGAGATATAAGGGATTATTGTTTAGTGGTTATACAGTGTCAGTTTTGCAAGTTAAAAATAGTTCTGTAGATGAGTAGTGGCACAAAAATGTGAATAAAAATACCATCTGATCATATGCTTAAAAAAGGTTAAGATGGCAAGTTTTATGTCATGAAGGGGGACCCCCAAAAACTGGAATTATCTTTTGGAGGGTAGGCCCTTTGTAGTACAGACTTCCCCCACTCAGTGGGTGTCCTAGGAGCCCATCTGTACCAGTGTGCCAGCTGCCATTGTGACAGGTTGTGTTTGGCTTCAGTGAACTCAGTCTTTTTTTTTGAAGACTTTCAAAACTTATTGCCCACACTGTGATGAATGTTCAGCAGTTTTTGACCAAAAATGGTATGACCTCCATGTCCCATCCTCCCTATTCACCCAATTTCACCTGAGCGACTATTTTTTGTTTCTTCAGATGAAAAAATTCATCAAGGGGAAACATTTTACCAATGTGAAAGAGATGAAAGAAAAAAAAGGCAGAAGCACTAAAAGGCATCAAAATTGATGAGTTCAAAAACTGTTTTGAGCAGGGGCAAAAAAGTCTTGATAAGTGTATTGCATCAAATGGATAGTACTTTGAAGGGGATTGAAGTTTAAACATGTAATAATAGATACACACTTTTTTATAAATAAATTCTGGCTTTTTGAGTCCCCCTTCATATGTGTATTTTACCACAATTAAAAATAATTTTAGCTCCGGCTGGTGTAGCTCAGTGTATTGAGCACGGGCCTGCGAACCAAAGGATCTCGGTTCGATTCCCGGTCAGAGCGCATGCCTGGGTTGCAGGCCAGTTCCTAGCAGGGGCCAGTTCCCAGCAGGGAATGCACGAGAGACAACCATACATTGATGTTTTTCTCCCTCTCTCCTTCCCTTCTCTTCTAAAGATAAATAAATAAAAATTAAATAATTTTAAAATATGGAAAATTAGCTTTTAATTTATTCAAAAATTTCACAAATTATCATTATATTGGAGGCCCTATAGTCAGTCATTTATAACATGAACTCTGGAGTTGGAATGCTGATGTTCAGTTTTGCAGTATGTAACTTTAGGCAAGGTATTTCAAATCCCTTGTGTCTTAGTTTTCTTATCCTTAAAGTGGGGATAAGAACATACTTATTTCACAGACTTGTGTGAGTATTAAATGAATCAGTATACAATGAAGCACTTGAAATAGTGTCTGATAGAGAAAAGTATTCTGTAGTGTTAGTAATTACTATGATTATTTGATAATTCTAACATCTGAAGTCCTTGGGATTCTAAATTTGCTGTTTTGGTGATTCCTATACATGGTGGTTTTTTCTTTTTAGAAAAACTTGGCAGATCTTTGATTGTGAACTCATATTTGGAGAGTCTTTGGGAATCCCAAGTCTCTAAATTTGAAATATTTTCCTTCCTCATCACATTTGACACCTGTGACCATATTTCTTTCCTTCAGTTGTCTCTATTTCACATTGGAGTCCTAGGTTTAGCTTCCCTCCCTACAGTGGATCTGGGTTTAGTTCTGTTCTCAGCTCATATTAGGTTACCCTAGGGTAACCCAAAACTTTAATTAGCTGTTGCTCCCAGATCTCCACCTTAGTTTCAGCTCATGATTATGATATATTTATTTATTTACTTGTTTTTGAGGATCTCTATTATGTCCTAAGAACCTAGTAAGGCATTAACAAGTATATTTTATCTAGAATCTGAGTCAGATATAGCAAGAAGGTCCTCAGAATACTGGGGGCATTGCCCTGACTGGTATGGATCAGTAGGTTGTGCATCCTTCTGCAAATCCAGTTGCCAGTTTGATTCCCAGTCAGGGCACATGCTTGGGCTGTAGGCCAGGTCTCCGGCTGGGAGCATATGAGGGGCTACCAATCAAAATTTTTCTCACACATAGATGTTTTTGTCCCTCTCTCTCTCCCCTTCCCTCCCCCTCTCTCTAAAAAACAAAAACAAAAGTACCACCCCCCCAAACTGGAGTCTCCATGCAGTGCCCAGAGAAGTCCACTGGGGCTTACTTTTCTGAGTGCAGAAGCTCATATTCCCAGAACCCATCTTGGGGACCACTTCATACCTGGCTGGTGATAAATAACCTTTTAAAAAAATGAATGATAGCCCTGGCTGGTGTAGCTCAGTGGATTGAGCACAGGCCTGTGAACCAGAAGATCGCGGTTCAATTCCCCGGCCAGGGCACATGCCTGGGTTGCAGGCTGGTTCCCTGAAGGCCAGTTCCCAGCAGGGGGCGCATGAAAGGCAACCATACATTGATGTTTCGATCCCTCTCTCCCCTCTAAAGATAAATAAATAAAATCTTTAAAAAAATGATAAAAACCATACCTAAAGCTCACTAGATACATAGAAGTTAGGACTTAGGGGTGTATGATATTTTTCCAGCCACCTGGGGAGCCATAATTTAATGTCACCTATCTCTGGCCCATGGCTGATACCACAGGCAGTAGGAAGGGAGGAGGGCAATGGGAGATGGCCTGAGTGGAAAAGAGACTTGCTCACTGTGGCTTCCCCAGTCTGCAGCTCGCTGTTGCTCCCAGTCTGCAGCCCTGGTCTCTATGTCTCCTTTTCTCCAATCCTCTACTCTGAGAATTAATTGTCTCCCCAAGGCCTGTTCCTACTCAGGCCAAAGAAGAAAGATTGTGGTTCAATAATCCTTTCTCAGTTCTTATTAAGCAACCCAGTCAAACTATAGCAAAGACTTGATACACCTGTTTAATAAAAGTGGCCATATAAGTAACAATAACAACAGTAAATATGGGTAGCTGTGCCAACAGTAGGACAGTGCATTTTACATTACAACTGGTTTCTTGCCCAGAGAAAGCTGACTCAGGCCCTTTCCTTCCTCCATTCCAGCTTTTGGTGATCTGGGCTCTCACCAGGGAGTCTACTTCTATTTAGTGGAGTGGGGATGTTCCTTCTGAGCTCAGCAATGCCTTCTGAGACTGGCTCAGAGGCTGGCCTGTTCAGTGGGCTGTGTCTCTCTCCTTGGGATATTGGGAGCACTGGAGGTTGGCAGTACTGCAGCTCCTAACTTCATCTTGAGTGTGTGTGGGCAATGGGGTCTCTTACAGGGATGGAGGCCTTTCGTTGCACCTAGAAATGCTGAGGCTGTGGGTGGAGAGATGTGCCCAAGGGGACTCTTGCTCTGTGTTTGGCTTCTGGGCGATCCCCAGGCGGGCACGACAGGGAGGAAGCAGTTTCCAGCACTGCAGAGGTGCAGCAGCATCATGATTCAGACTAGAATAAGAGACCAATGAAAAGAGAGTCATGATTTGAAAATGGACAAAACAGTGATGTATGTGTGCAGTTTATTTTCCTTTCCTGAATCTCTTTGCTTCTCTCTCTACCCTGTAGGGAAGTCTCATAAGTCTTTCTACCCTCTTTCTCATCAGGATCTGTTCTCTGGAAAGTATCAGATAGTCTCATTCTGCCAGAAAATAGACAGTGATATGGTTGTGTATGCATTTAATGGGAATTTCTGATCTAAGCAATTTCAGCTCTTAATGGTGGAAGCCCAGGCTGTTGCTTACTGGTAGAGAAAATTATTTGTGATGTAAAAGGTCTCAGAGCCATTTAAATTAAACCTAAGGATGACTGGGTGTCCTAAGAGTATAGAAAGGAAGGGAGGGCACAATAGGTAGGACAAGTATGCTCACCTTCCGGACACTGTAGACCCAGTTGAGATAGGCTGTGACTTTGGTGTATACTCCCGGGGTGCTTGGGCCCCCACAGCCATGGCCCCAGCTCACAATGCCCACAACTTGCCACAGGTCAGAGTAATACATCAGGGGCCCACCGCTGTCACCCTGTGAGAGGGCAGAGCAGGGGCTGTTGGGTTGAGCAGGTGGGGTAAGGTGGAGGGGGTGGGCTTCTTCTTCCTCCCCTCCTTGCACTGGCCCATCTCTGTCTGCTGGCTTGCCTTGCTCCACCCGCTCAGACTGTTCCTGCAGCCTAGAATGTCCTCTTTTGGGGCGGAAGAGTTCTGTTGGAGGTCAAGTAAGTCATGGGTGTACCCATAGCCCCTTTCTTGGAGATCCAAAACTCATACCAGCAGACTGAAGGCTCTAAGGGGCCCTGTAACAAGGACGCCTGGTTATCTTTGTTTAATATTGTATTCCCCAAATTTATTTAACCACGTATGGATCACCTATTTGATGCTAGGCAGTGTTCTAAGTAATTGGGTTCAATCAATGAAAAGAATAAAGATCTCTGCCTTCAGGAAGCTTAGAATTAAATGGAGAGAGGAAGAGAGAGAAAGAAAGAAAGGGAAAGAGGGGATAAACAATCATACAAGATAGATAAAAATATCAGATAGTGAAAAGTTCATTTATTTGGGTGTCTATCTTTCCAGCACCTATAACCCTTGAGGCCTCTTCTCTCAAAACCCAATAACACGGTGGCCAAAATACTGTTTATGTGCCCCTGTCCCCCACTGTGATCTCCCTGAGGGAAGGCACTGTTTCCAAGCCCAGCACTTACCTGGCATTCAAGACACAACTAAGAGTAATGCCTCTTGAGTGAAAGAACTGAATGACTGAGAATGGAGGTGGGAGTAGGTTCAGGGATTTAATGAGAATATCTCAGAAGATCCTCTGGGGTGGGGTGGGAGGACCTAACACTAGGACTCACCCAGCATGAGATAAGTTTTCCCTAGTGTGGTTAAGTAGCTTAAAGACAGTTACAGAGAAAGTGACCTGGAATTCTTGTCTTCAAGAGACTCATATCTCTAGATGATGAGGAGGGAGGGTAGGTGGGGACAGTAACATCACCTTAGTATGTGATATATATATATATATGATATATGGGGACAGTAACATCACCTTAGTATGTGAGATATATATGTTAATATATATCTCACATACTAAGGTGATATATATATATATACTTAAAATCTTTCTGTTTGTCTCCATTCATCAATCTATCTATTCCTATCTTTAGCTGATAAAATTCTTCTTTCCATGTTTCTCTCCCTTTCTCCTTTCATTAGACATTGAGTACCAAACATATGGTACTCAATAGGACTTTGTGTGTGACATTCAGCTTTTAAATTTTTTGTCTCTCTAGGACCTACATCCTTATCCATAGGATTCCCTCATGATCCTTGGAGGACTCACCTGGCAGGTGTCCACGCCACCCTCCAGGATGCCAGCACACAGCATCTCCTTGGTAACTTCCCCCTGGTATGCATCTTCTGCATTGCATCGTGTCCTGTCAATGACCTGGACTGACGCCTGCAGCAGTATGTCAGATATCTTCCCTGGGAGGTTGAAAACATACTCACATTGTCACCCTTGCTCTCTCCCCCAGTCCAGGATAATACTTTAGGTTATCAAGCACCTTGGTGTTTGGATCTCCAGGATGGGATTTTCCTGATGGATGATCCTCCTTCTCATTACCTGTGATTGCTGCTTTCTCTGCCCTGTGATCCTGAGCCTAGGACTTACCTCCACCTGGCTCTGTAAAGCCCCATCCGATGACCCAAAGTGGGGTGGCTGGAGTGAGCTCCTCATCAGAGAAGGGCAGGCAGATGGGTCTGACTGTGTCTGCCAGGAGCAGAGAAGAAGAGGAGACCAAATGTTCAGCAAGCCTGGTGGTTAAGCATTTTGTAACACAGTTTCCATAGGATGTTAATAGAAGTGGCAGGAGAAAAAGGGTTCTGTGGTCAAATATGTTTAGAAAATGTGGGTTAAACACAATAAAATTAATTATTTAAAAAATTAAAAATTCTCATATCTTTAATATACTAAAGTACTCCAAAAAAGAGAGCTAAAGTATAAAAATGTTTCCCATATTTATTTGAGAATAGAACCTTCTTTTTCCCAAGAACCAACATTTGGAAATGCTGATCTAAATACAGTATAAGGATGAGCCATTTAACAGAGATGTTCTAAGATTCTATGGGCTGCCTTAACAGTAGTGAGTTCCCTAACCCTGAAGGAGAATGAATGGGTAGAATGACCACTTGGCAGGATACTGTACAGGTTCTTGGCATTGGTTGATGGAGGAGGATGGACTAGATGAATTCACAGCTCCAAGACTGGATGAATTTATGATCCTCACTCAAGATGCTCTACATGGAGAGAACAGCAGACCTCAGAAACTCTGGCAGGGAATGGGGTGGGATGTCAGCTAACAGCTGGAGGAGTCCTCATGGCATTACTGGTGTTAGTCTGGTACATTTGCTGGAAATAAATGGACAACTGAGGTCTTGAGAGGAGAAAAGTGAGCTCAAGGCCACTTAATGAGCTGGTGGAAGAGTGGGGATACAGTCTAACCTAAGGGGCTCTATTCCCAGGTGCCACCTCTTACCTGAGAATGTGAGTGGGTACTGCAGCTTCACAAGTGCAATGTCTTTCTCTCTGGGGTATGTGGTATTGAGCTCAGTGACAAAGATCTTGGCCACAGGCAGGGATGGGAAGTTTCCCATTTTGTCTGAGCCAGGCCTCACCTTCCAGTTGGACACAACAAGATGCTTCCTGGGGTCAGAGACAGTGGGGTTAGGGCTTGAGCCAAGCATAGGTAGGGCTTGCTGAAGGCTAGGCCCACAGGGCCCTGGGGTTTGTGGTGCTAGAGGTTCCTGCCTTAGGAGGCAATGATGGTGAAGGCAGGGTGGTGGAGAAGGGACAGTTTGAGGAATCATTCACTATAGACCAAATTCTAAAAGGGTACTTGATCTTTTTTCTCCAATGGAACCTACTCAAGAAAACTACTAGCTGGAGGTCTGGGGAAGGGGCCATTCCCATTGCTTGAGCTCTGGGGTCTTGGCACTGTCATTTGCAATGCTGTTCATTATTGTTGCCACTCATGCAGTACTTGCAGTGGTACGGTGGCCACTTACATTATGTGCTTGTCTTCCTTCCTTCTGATACTAGATGGTTTTCCAGGAAAGTTTTATAGCTTTTGTCAGATTCTCAAAAACATTTAAGAACCACTGGCCTAGACTCTGAATTCCTCTAAGGCAGCAATGGATCCTAATAATATAATGCTAGGTCCTTAGTAGGGACTCATCAGATGTTGCATGAATGAATTAGTAAAAGTAAAGAAGTCCTGGAACTGGTCCTTCCTAGGGGTAGGGGCAGACATCTCTGCTGGTCTGTCAGGAAATCTATACTATTTTCCCTTAAGTTTCTGGACATAGTGAGGGAGTGGCAGTGACTCTAGCTAGACCCTAGAAACACTTCCTGGAAGACTAGAAAAGAGGGAGAGAGTTCTCAGGAAGATGGAAAAAGCTTTTGTGGAGTGAATATGAGGTGGACTGAGGACACTTGGTTTCTGATGGCTTCTAACTTGGAAGAGGTCAAGCTTGGTGACCACCATCCTCTGCTCAGACCTCCAGTGAGGGGAATATTATATCTAGCATCTTATTGGGGTGGCCACAATCTAGGACATAGTTTTTGAGGGCAGAGTAAAGGGGAGTAAGGGCCACAGAACACAAGTCAGGAGATAGGGAGCCAGGCACTCAGGCCGCTTCGTGGCTTCTTTATTTTTATTTTAAAGATTTAATTAATTTATTTTTAGAGAGAGTGGAAAGGAGGGAGAGAACACATCGGTCAGCTGTCTCTTGCACATGCCCCAGCTGGGGACAGAACTTGCAACCCAGGCATGTGCCCTGCCCATGAATTGAACTAGTGATCTTTTGCCTTGTGGAATGATGACCAACCCACTGAGTCACACTAGTCAGGGCTCCTCCATGGCTTTGGCTCCTACAAGGCCTCCTTGCAGAGTGGTCCTTACCTGAAGCAGTGGGCTGCTGTGAGGATCCATTGTCGGTCCAGGATGCTCCCTCCACAGATGTGTTGTTTGTTGTACTGGATACTGACCTGCCAAGGCCACGAATCCACAGAGGCCTTCTCCCCGCCCACCACCCGAGGGGCCTTCAGGCTCTTCCCACAGTCTGGGTGCAGAAAGAAGGAGGGAGAAAGCAGGAGTCAGGCTCTTGAGAGATGGGGCTGCCTCTCCTTAGAGTGCAAAATCTATCCTGAGCAGGCTTCACCCTGGTGGTGAAGGGGAACAGGCCAATTTTGAATTATTCATGGGAGATATTGAGTGTCCTAGACCACGGGCTTTCCTCCAGTCTCCCTCCTTTCTTTTCAGCTTTGGATGTGCTTAGAAGTTTATATTGTGAACATGGGTGCATCCATTGTGTTGAGAATTTATGACCTTCAAACTAAACAGTGATGCAGAATTATGAAAGTCCCACCCAGGTAGAGTGTCCTCAGGCCACTCCCACTGAGTAACAGTAAAGAGACACCCACAGGCTGCTTTGGGAGCCAGCAGTGGGAAGAAAGTTTTAAAAACTGGTTTTTTTCCATCCTAAAATCACCTTTCTCTAAGTCTCTTTCCCCTTTCTGAGTGAGTTTCCCAATTTGTCATCCTATTGTCTTTCATATCTCACTGTCCTGGCTTTCATATTTGACCCTGGAAATCTTATAAAAACCTCCAGTTCCATCTCCCTGCCCTGTTTTCAGCCTCCTCAATCTTCTGGCAGCCACTGCCCAATGGCTTTTAAAGGGGAAAGGCTACCAACCTTTCTAAGCCTACGCTAGCCAGGAACTTCACCAACACCATTGAATTACAAACAATGCTTTCTACATGTTACCTCACTCACTCAATCAGAGCGCTTTGGCACCCCTCTTTGTTTGTAGGAAGTTTAAACTCCTGGTAGCCTCCTGCTCTTCTTACATAAAGTTTCCATTTAGCCAAATCGATCTGCTTGTAGTTCCCTAAAAAGTAATTCTGTTTTTGTTCAAGGAAGCCCCTATGAGATACTACCTCCTCTTCTGTTTATCTAAATCATTGATTCATTCAGCAAATTTGTACTGACTGCCTACTATGTCTCAGGGATATTAAGAAGAGAGTGATGGACAAGACAGAAAGACAGACATAGTCCCTCCCCTCCTGAAGTCTATAGTTCACTCTTCAATATTTAGCTTGGGCACTATCTCCTGGCCACTCATTCCCTGGGGAGTTCCCTCTCTTGGACTTTCCACAGCTTGCTCTGGGTGTTGGCCAGCCTTTCATTATTGTCACGCTTCTGTCTTGTCTTCTCGATGAGACTTAAGGCTCCTCAAGGGAGTGTCTGTGACTTAAGCTTCTTTGTAACTTCAGTGCTAGTCAGCTCAGCACATCAGATGATATGACTGTTTGTTCGTTAATTAATTAATTAATTAATTAATTAATTAATTAATTATCATGTGTTACCCCCACACAGTAGCTATTGGGGGGGAGGTCATATGATAATGACTAAAAGTCTTAATGTCCAAAAAGGAAGTACATATACTGCTGAACTTCAAAGGCAGTGATGATGGACTTCTTTTCTTTCTAGTTTCCAGCCATCCTTCTGGGCTCTGCTCATTTTTCTCTGAAGAGGCTGATAGAGTGAGCTGGGCAACAATGCTTGTTTTCTTTTCTGATCTCTTCTGTTAGGGCTAAAAGTGGGGGGGCTCCTGGGATTCTCCTGGGCAATTGGACTAAATGGCTTCTTGGGAAAATTAACCTCAGAGAGGTCAAGTGAATTGCTCAAGGTCCCCCTGGAAGCCTGTAGGACTGGCGTTCAGGTCTCCTGAACCACTGTGCAGCTCTCTCTTTAGCATGTCAGCTGTGACTTCTACTCAGTTTGGTACTTTCCACATGTGGCCTTGTGTCTCTTTCTTTGCTCAGTTATTAGCTGCTGAGGATAGTGGCCACTTCTTTTACTTTTCTACTTCCAAACAGCACCTGAGAGTTAGACACAAACTCAGTGACTCTTTGCTAAATGGAATGTGGGTAATCTAATCTTAGATAACTGAGCTGATAGTGACAAAGGAAGTTATGTGGGCCCTGAGCAGGAATGAGAGGGGTAGGAGCCCCACCCTACTCTTTCCAGTTTTCCTACTCTCCGCTCAGATTGTGGGGCTATGTGTGGATGGTAAGAGGAAGTTTCTTTTTTTAAAAATTTTATTTATTAATCTTTAGAGGGGAAGGGAAGGAGAGAAATATCAATGTATAGTTGTCTCTTGTGTGTCCCCTGCTGGGAACTGGTCTGCAACCCAGGCATGTGCCCTGACTGGGAACCAAACCGTGATCCTTTGGTTCACAGGTCCTCACTCAATCCACTGAGCTACACCAGCCAGGGCTAAGAAGTTTCTTAATGTCAATCACTTGAAGGATCATTGACCTATAAGTCCAATGCCCAAAGAAGTAAAGTTTGGACAAGAACAAAACGAAACTTGGAGTCTGAGAGATTTAGGAATGAGAGTGAAGGTCTTTTGTCATGCTCATTTCTGGCTCAGGACCCAAACCCTCAGAGATGGGACATACTCACCAAGGCACTGCAGGGAAACCAGGGAGCCTGAGATACAGGATCTGGAAGGGAGACACAGGGCCCTATGTTTTCTGCTCCTTCCTTGGCTGAGAGACAGGAACTCAGGTCTTTCGGCAGTAGAGTCAAATCCCCTCCCAATCTGGGAAATATGGAATCTGCATAGGGGGCTGTATAGAAACTACATTGCCACTCAGTTTAATTTGATTGGATTCAACACCCCCCCCCCTCAGTGAGAAGTATCTACACTGTGTTGGGTCCCGCCTGAGTCAGAGCCCAAGTTGAGCTCTTGGCAGCCTGAGATGGAAGAGAGCAGAGCCTGGAGCAGTGTCTGCTGCTCTGCTGGCTTGCCAAAGAGAAGAATGGGATTTCAATGAATTCTAGGCAAATGATCATTTTGTTCCTATCCCTGTCCTTTTCAAGATTTATTCTTCGATAAAAAAGCAGTACTCAGTAACATCCCTAAATGTTAAGAAGCCAGAATCCTCTCTGAGCCTGTCTTGACAGTTTTCATTTAGATGCCGTGCTCTAATTCACTAAAGTGAAGCATAGGAAGAGACCATTGACAAAGGCCTGCAGTCTCTGCTCTGGAGAGTTGGTAGTGTGGAAAGGTCTTACAGAGGCATGGGTGAGTGGCAGGGAAGGACTAAGTGGCCTTTGGATTATTCCCTGTTGGGCTTAATAGAGAACATAAGGCAGCAGAAAAATAAATAGCGTTGCTCTTCGACTGGTGGAAAGGCCACCAAGGTGGCCTTTGTGCTGGAGAGCACACTTTGTCCAGCTGTTCATTGTATTCAAAGAAGAGTCAACACTGGAAATCTCTCACAAATGTGATTCTCCACTCTTGGTATCTAACAATTTGCCTGGCCAGGAGTTCTTCCTGTCATCTGGTTTACATCGCCCCTGCTGTGTCTGTTCAGGCTGGGCTGGCTGCAGCCCTGAGGGCAACTCCATGTGTGAGCCCTCTGTGCACCAGAGGATGTCCTCTCACTTACCCACTTGAATTTTGCACCTGAAGGTCCTGGTTGTTTGCTGTGATTTCAACAACATGTAGATCTTGGACTGGGCCAATCTTTACAGCTCTGAAGGTGGGTTTGCCACTCATGTCAGGAGAGAGAGACAGAGAGAGAGAGAGAGAGAGAGAGAGATATGTGAGTTAGGGCAGGAGCTTAGAACAAGATAGTGGGACTAGCCCACCTTCAGGAGAGAGGGTGCCTGGCAGAGGATGCCTGGTGGGGCATGGCAGGGAGGTGGAGGTGATCTTGGTCAGTGAGGGTGGTGTCTGCTTTGCTATGTGATCAGATATTCCCTTGGTACCCCAGGATTAAACTCTAGGCACAATGCTGTTGTGGCCTTTCATTCTTGGGTGGGGAGACTTAATCCAGAACTTTGAAAAAATGTTAGGGACACACTTTCCTAACTCCCAGCTCTGTCCCTATTTCAAGTGTTGCAGCAGTTTCTTCTGTTTCACAGCAAAAGGAACAAGGAGGCAAAGAACCTGGGAAGAACTCTCCCCCTACCTTGGAGGGCACTGGAATGTGGATATTTGATTCTCTGAGACATCAAGTCTGAATTCTGTAGTGCAAGTACATTTACAGTCCATTTGGAGATAGGATAGGACAAGATCAATCTTCATATGAGTCCAGACAAACATTTCTCTCACTTGGACCACCCTCATTTTTTCTTTCTGCTAATCCATGTTTATCTTCTTTCAAACCTTGGGTTTAAGTCTTTCTCCTCCAGGAAGACTTTCCTGATTAATCCCATCTTTCCAATTATTCCTTTACTCTTTTCTGTCTCTTGCATCCTTCCCTATCTAGTCACACTAGTAGGAGCTCTGCACGCAGGGCTCAGGCCAACCCATGGCACTGGCTGAATGATAATTCTCACATTTCCAGCTAGAAATCTGGCACTACTTGGTGGCACTACATCTGGGAGAACTAGAGCCTAGCAGTACTCAGTTTTGTGTTAAGAGCCCTCAAGATCAAAGTACTTGTCCTGGCTCTGACACTTGCCTGACAGGTAACACCCCTTCTCTGGGTCTCTCTAAGCCTCACTTTCCCCTCTGTAAAATGGTGGGTGGACCAGATGATCTCTAGAGTCCCCCCTTCTAACCAACTAGAATTTTGTGGTGCTGGGACAAGGGGGACCCTCTATCTAGTTGGAAGAAGAAAAGTAGAGAAATCTGAGACCCAGGGGGTACAATGATAGAAATGGACAGTCCCAGGAAAGTTAACTTCCATTCACTGGTTACATCCTCATGAATACTTCCGACCAGCTTTGATTTTGTAGGTGCTCCATAGCCAGGTGGTTTAGAGCTCCAAGAGAACAGAGATTACAGGAGCCTATTACCTTAACAGCTCTGAGGGACACTCTATTTTCATAATTAAGCCACAGCCTGCTTGCTGGGGTACAGCTGATTCTGCAGTTGTATGGACTGTAGCATGGAGGACAGGTGGCTGCAGGAGAAGAGGAGAATAGCGGGGGCAGGGCAAGCCTTCCCAGATGTCCTCAAAAACAAAGGGGCAGGGTATCCTCTCCAGAGGGTGTTGGGGGTTTCACCCCATGAAGGGTTGAGAGCAGTGGAAGCCTGTTCAAAGAAGAGTCAGAGGGCAGAGGGCAAACAGGTTTGATGGATCAGTAATGGCTGCCTGAAGCATTTACTGAAGAGAACTTTGAGGCTGCTTTAAGGATGGATGGCAGAGTTCTGCAATTGATTGATGGTGTCTGCCTAGTTTCTGAGTGCAGTTTCTTAGATTCATGAAGCTTGGGGCCTGCCAGGGAGAGATTGTCCCACTCTGCATCTGAATACATGAAATTTTCCCATCCTTTCCAGTTAGGCTCAACTGTCCCTCCTTCTCCTTTTATACATGAAACCTTGCAGGAAGAGAGAATGACCCAACTTAGTAACAGAAATGTTCCTAGAACTCCTGATGCCCAGGAATGACCAGTCTTGGGCACAAATTCCAGCCCTTTCCCTCCCAGCTACTACCCAAGGAAATTATTTAGTTTCTCCAAACTTATTTCTAAAATAGATAATTTCTTATTTTTAAATTTTTGCCAAGATCAAATGGATATAAATATATAATACTAATTACCCTTATTATAATTATATTCTTCTTCATTGTCAAAGATCTGGAACTGCTTTTGAATTTGCTGAGAGCTGGGATTGCAGATGGAACCCCAAGGAAATCAGGTTAGTTTAAACCAAATTTTCACCAATAAGACTTTTGTCTTCTGGGGCAGGGATGCATTGTGTAAAGATAAGAAGGAGCAGGGAGGAAAGGAAGGAGAGGATTATAAAGGGGTGGAACTCCTGTGTGTATGTATGTGTGCATGAGTGGGTAGAGAACACATTCTCTCACTGGGACCTCATATTTATCCTACAGAGCTGACTTTACTTCCCCAGTTAACTCTTGAGTAAACCAAGGTTTTAGAGATTTAATTTCATGTTACTTGTAAGTAAAAGTGCTGGAATTAAAGCAATTTTGACTGGCTCCCACACCAATATTTTTAGAAAAGAAGGAGACAAGGAAGAAGGAAATGGGGAAAAAGGGCAAAAGAGGAAAGAATATGTGAAGGAAAGAGGTCCTAGGGGTGAGGTAAAAGCCTTTGGAGGCTTGGGTTGGGTACCTGTCAAAGCCCATCTGCCCACAGGCTGTCTGGGCCAGAGCTTCTGTGAAGTTGTTGAAACAGACAGAGGCCCAGTTCCTTGTGGCTGGGTCCAGCACCTGAAGGGTGGATCGGTCTCTGGAGAGTCGGACTGGAAGGGGGGGAATCTGGGTCAGCTGCAGGTACCCATCTGGCCCATTTCCCTCAGAATTCCTCATGAGACCAGCCAAGCTCCCCATACTCAGAACTGGAGAGCATCACAGAACATCAACCCTTTCAGCCTCAAGGGAAGCTCCTCCATTTAGATTTGCTTGAGTCTTGTATTGACAGAAGACAGGGTGATCAAATGTCTTGGGGTCAACCTTCATTTTGACCTGTTGCTCTGGCATAATTATTAACAGTTCCTCCTTTTGTTTTCATGGCCCCTACACATGGTTCACACAGCTTTCAAGGCCGGGGGAAACTTCTCAATGAGGAGCTTGCCCCTTTTCCATGTCAGAGTATATGGAAGAGGTTGAGTGAGAAGTATCCTTAGGCATCTGATTTTTAAAAAATATTTTATTTATTTATTTTTAGAGAGAGGGGAAGGGAAGGAGAAAGAGTGGGAGAGAAACATCAATGTGTGGTTGCCTCTCATGTGTCCCCTAATGGGGACCTGGCCTGCAACCCAGGCATGTGCCCTGACTGTGAATCAAACCAGTGACCCTTTGCTTCACAGGCTCGTGCTCAATCCACTGAGCTACACCAGCCAGGAGGCATCTGATTTTTAAAAAAAAAATTTTAAGATTTCATTTATCTTTAGAGGGGAAGAGAAGGAGAGAGGGAGAGAGATATAAATGTGTGGTTGCCTCTCATGTGTCTCTTGACGGGAACTGACTTGCAACCCAGGCATGTGCTCTGATCGGAAATCGAACCATGATCCTTTGGTTCACAGGCCCACGCTCAATCCACTGAGTTACACGAGCCATGACAGGCATCTGATTTTTTTTTAAAAAGCAAATATGCAAGAAGTCATTCAGTGCTTCTCCTTAGAATCACCCATCACCCATAGACTAGGCTGTCTTTTATTTTATTTTTTTCAGAGCCCAGGTGCTAGGTGGATCAAGTGGGGCTAGCCCAGTCTAAGAAAGAACATGGATTTTTATGTTTAAACATCTCATATTTCTTTGAAGGACCTAGGTCAGTCTCGTTACATAGCATGTTACAACAAATACTTGTCTAATGAATAGAAATAACCAATAACTAATTAGTGGCCTTCCTGTATATTCTGGGCTTCTTGACATAACAGACAGGAGGGAACTTCTCAAGGTCATCTAATCCATGTCTCTGCCTCAGTTTCACCCAGGTACAGAAGAAATGGGGCAGACTCAGTTATAGTTTCCAGTTTCCTTTGGTCCACATTTGTTCACCAGATATTTACTTAGTGTTTGCTACACACTAAGTACTGGGATCTAATAGACCAGATATGATTTTATTGTCAAGAACCTTACATTAGGGGACTTCTGCCAAGATGGAGGCGTAGGTGGAAACACTTTGCTTCCTTGCACAACCAAATCTAAAAACAACAAAGTTTTAACAATAATAAATGCAACCAAACCACAGAAAATCAACCAATACGGAGTCCGAAAACAAGCGCTCAGCAAAACCGGTGAGAGGGGTGAAGCCAGCAGCGGAGCGGGTCGGGCAAAAAAAATCCCCTCACCCGGGTGGTGCGCAGGCAGCTGAGGGTGAGATCCCAGGTGTGGGGTAGCTACGGGTGGACACAGGGAAGACTCGGTGTGGCTGTCTGTCTGCAGTCGGGCATTTGCGCACAGATAAACCAGTGAAGAAACGAGCATTGAGACAGATCACGCAGGCCCCGGCACAGGGCGGTGGGCTCGCACTTTTGCGCTCAGATAAACAGGCAGGGGTGAGCGGTGAGGCAGACTGGGTTAGCAGAGAGGATTGCTATTGCTCCCTCTCTGACCCCACCCCCACATACAGTGTCACAAACCAGCGACCTGGGCGGCCCTGCCCTGGTGAACACTTAAGGCTCCGCTCCTCATACAAAACAGGCACAAACAGATCAAAACATGGCTCAAGAACAACTCAGAGCCCCAGAGCTGATAAATTTAAGTGATGAAGAAACAGCCAAAGTTTCAGATGCACAGTTCAAAACACTGGTGATCAGGATGCTCACAGAACTGGTTGATTTTAGTCACAAATTAGAGGAACATATGAAGGCTAAACTAATTGAAATGAATGGAAATACACAGGAAACCAATAGTAATGGAAAGGAAACTGGGACTCAAGTCAAGGGAGTATAACAGAAGAAGGAAAAAAATGACCAAACAGAAAAATATGAAGAAACAAGAATTCAAAAAAATGAGGAGAGGCTTAGGAACCTCCAGGACATCTTCAAATGCTCCAACATCTGAATTATAGGAGTACCAGAAGGGGAAGAGGAACAGTCACGAGTGGAAACCTTATTTGAACAAATAATAAAAGAGAACTTCCCCAATCTAGCAAAGGAAATAGACTTCCAGGAAGTCCAGGAAGCTCAGAGAGTCCCAAAGAAGTTGGACCCAAGAAGGAACACACCAAGGCACATCATCATTACATTAGCCAAGATTAAAATGAAGGAGAGAATCCTAGAAGCAGCAAGAGATAAGAGGACAGTCACCTACAAAGGAGTTTCCATCATACTGTCAGCAGATTTCTCAAAAGAGACCTTACAGGCAAGAAGGGGCTGGAAAGAGGTATTAGTCATGAAATCCAAAGACCTATATCCAAGATTGATCTATCCAGCAAAACTTTCATTTAGAATGGATGGGCAGATAAAGCGTTTCTCAGATAAGATCAAATTCAAGGAGTTCATCATCACCAAGCCCTTATTATATGAAATGTTAAAGGGACTTACCTAAGAAAAGGAAGATAAAAAATTTGAACAGTGAAAGGACAGCAAATTCACAGTTATTAACAACCACACCTAAAACAAAATCAAATTAGGAGGACAGCTAGATCAGGAGTGAACCATAGAAATGAAGATCACGTGGAGGGTTAGCAACAGGGGAGTGGGAGAAGGAGAAGGCACAGAAAATAAGTAGCATAGACAGTAGATAGAAAATAGATAGGGGGAGGGTAAGAATAGCAGGGGAAATATAGAATCTAAAGAACTTGAGACTAATGAATTAAAGGGGGGGAGAATGGTGATGGGGTGTGCAGGGTTGAGGGGAATGAAGGAGGGGAATAGAACAAATGTAATGGCGTAATCAATGAAATAAAAAAATATATGAAAAAAGAAGAAGAAGGAAAAAAAAGAACCTTACATTAGGGATGGAAACTGACAGTCAGGTGGAAGGTGTTATGCAGTGGAATGATGAAACCTGAGCTGACTTCCTGCTGAGACCACTTACCTGGTCCTTCAGCCCCTGGACTTACCTGCCACTGGAGGCCCGTTGTCAGGAAAGTTCTTGACGCAGTACTGCTCATCTTCTCCTGAGGCACAGTCCTGCTGGCCATCACACACCTGTCTCTTGGGGATGAAGTGTGGGGGCTGCCCACAGAGGAAGTAGTACTTATCCAGGATCACCTTGACTGGAAGGCAAGGGCAGGGAAGAGCATAGAAGACTGAAGATCAAGTCCAGGGGCAGAAGAGGCTGTGTTTTCCTGAAGATATACTGTGCGTGGAGACAGGTAGATACTGGTTCTTGGCCCAGTTCTGGGCCCATTTCTGCCATGTAGTGGCTGGTATACTTGGTTCTGAGCCTCAGTTTACTTATCTATAAACTTGAGGTAATAAAATCTGTCTCATTCCTAAAGGTAGCTGAGGAATTAAGATGTGTGTGGGAGCCTTTTGGTAACAGTCCCTCGCCCTAGTCTCTGACTGCCAGGTGTTGGCATAGTGACTTTGATAATGGAGGAGACACACTGGGTCTGGAGTCTGAAGACCTGAGTGCTCGCTTTGCCACCTACTGCATGACTTTAGACCAATCTCTTACCCTTTCTGGGGCTCAGTTTCCTCATCTGTACAGTGAGATGATAATACCACCTCATAGGGTTACTAAGGACATTTGGTGAGCTGGTGGTTGTGAAAGTGGCTCATAACTATCTGGTGCAGTTCTAGGATTAGGTGTTTTTATGTGGAGTTGAAAGACTCATTGAGAGGCTGGTGTTTTGCTTTGTCTTCTGCCTTTAAATTCTGTTGTTCCTCTGCTCTCCTGGGTGATGGGAATGAGTCTAGTGTTTATAATTCCTCAGGGAACACAACTTTCAACACTTTTCTAAACTCTCCTGGCAAGAAGTGCTCTTCTTGCCTCCCTGAACTCTCCCTGGCCTGAAGCAGTAAGTCTGATGAACAGCACCCCTTGCCCCCACTTATCACTGCTAAGGGCTTTCTATAATCCTCACATAATCCTGACCACAAGTTAGAGGGCATGTGCTGCTATTAACCTGCATTAAAAATCAGGAAACTGAGGTTAGAAAGTTAGGGTTTATTTCCTAATGCCACATGACACTTATGTGGTTCTAGAACCAGAATTTCAGTTAGGGTCTGTCTGGCTCTTTGCTGTCTCTCCACATCTTCCCTGAGGGATCTCAGGATGTTACCTGCTGGCCCTGATTTTCCTGGTGTGAGTGAAGCAAGGGAGAAAGAGCAGGTCAAATATTTCCTAGACCTCTGGATTTAAGTTCATGGTCAGGAGCCTGGGTAAGGCAGAATCACTCTAGCCTCCTGGGACAAAGCCAGGACACTGTACTACCAGTTGAGACCCTAGAAGCCAACAGTTGAGGGAGCCTTGCCCAGGCTGGGAGCTCAGGCTACCCAATCTGGTTCTCAGATCCAGAGGGGTCCAGGACATGGAAACCACACTTGGAGAGCCCAATTGGGAGAGCCCAGCTCAAAATTATGCATTAGACCTGCCCTGGCTTCCTATGGGTAAATTTGGATCTTCTTTGTTCTCCACTATGGTGGGGTATACACTCAGAAAGAAAGCTTATTTTAATATTAGTCTGAACAAAAGAGGCTTAGGATGGCAAGTCTGCTACTGCTTCTGTAAACACACTACCAGTTTTATCAACCGTACCAGCCATGGTCAAGAAGAAATGATTTGGGGTATCTTATACCCTACAGGGCTTTCATGGATCTGGTTGTATTTGTGTGGTGGATATGCATTTCTGCTACCATAGGTGGAAATGGACCTGCTCAACTGGGGGCTTGGGGGCCTGTCTCAACTGTCCCTAATTGCCATGCCTCCTTTCTGAGCCTAGGTGCTCAAGTGGAAAATGAGGGCTTGGACCAGATGATCTCTGAATGCCCTCTGAGATGGTGGCTGTGGCTGGTGGAACTACTACCACAGTTACAAGTGCAGGCTCCTGAAAAGCCCATCCTTGTCAGTTAGCAAGTATGTGACATCGGTTACATCTCTGCACACTTCACAATGGCCTACCCTTCTGCACAACCTGGTTTTTATCCAAGTAGTTTACACACATGATCTCATCAATCCTCTAATGTCTCTCTGAAGGTAGCAGGGCATTTTATAGGTGAGAAGATTGAGGTTAAGAGAGGTTGGGGAACTTACTCAAGGTTAAACAGTAGTCAATGACAGTGCCAGGATCCCTGTCTCAGATACTTTCTGGTCTATCCCTTCTTCTTTACTCCCTCTGTGAAGCTGTGGGCAAAAACTTGCTATGACTATGGGGCAGATGAAGGCAAGAACTTAATCACAGGATGTGGGCACTGAAAGGGAGCGACTGTGGGAATCCCTGCTCATTCACTTTACTTTTTTTCTGTCACAGAGTGGTGGGCCCAAGATCACACAGGGTCTTAGGCACTGGCCATGATGAAGACAGAGCTAAAGGTGGAAAGGGGTGCTATCTGCCTGGGTGGTCCCTGATGCTTCCTCTCTTTTTTTATTCTCTCTTCATGAGCAGAAATGCTCCCTGCTCCTCTAGCCAGTGAAACTGCTCAAATCCACTCAGCTCCCAGTCTGTACACATGGGACAGAGGAGGCAGGGGGAATGGCTGCCCCTGCAAATGACCTGTGTGGGCTCATAATGTGTACAACTGTGCTCTCTCTATAGAAGAAATTATTTGGTATAGAAGCCATCTGGGATGGATGGGGGCTGAGTTCATCCTTTCCTTTCTTAGTGGAAGCTCCCTTCAAAGCAGGGGATATATACATGTGGATACAAAGCACTATGCAGAACACAAGCCTATGACTCTGGTGGGGTGGAAGGGTGGAGGGTGAGGGTGTCACTCTGAATGAGGGTAGGGGAGGGGTGAGGGGGAGCTGCCACTTACTGTGGGGTGAAAGTGGAGGTAGGGGCATTGATGAGAGTGTGAAGGCTGCCACTTACTGAGGACAGCCACGATGACAATGATTGCCAGGCTCAGCAGTGATGCGATGATGGGGATCCCCACTTTTTTGAAGGTCTCCAAAGAAGGGCGAGGTTTGCGTAGAGGGGTGACATCTGCGAAGTAGAGGGGAAGAGCCTTTGGAGAGCACTTGGAGACCTCCCCTGCCAAGGGCCATAATCTTCCTGCCCTCTGTCCCCTAGTGCTGAGCCACAAAAATGCTTTGGGAAGAGTTTGGTTAGTGTTGGGGGTTTACACCTTCAGCATAGGCTTAGCTTCATCAGCACATGGTCACCAGTCTTCTTGTACTATCCAGGCTTTTCTATTCCACAAGGGCCCTTCAAATGAGTCTCCAGCCCATGGTGTTTTAAGATGTTTCACCCTATCCAGTCTGACTTGCTTCTGCCCTGGAGAGGTACCACCCATTCATTTTACTATCATTTATCCTTCTCCCTTAGTTATCTGTTGACTTAAGGATAAGCTCAAGGAAGGCAGAGCCTCTATTGCAGTATGTATTTAGTACAGACTTAAGTATCTGTGAAAGAATTCATCTATAACTTAATTAAAGAACCAGCAAGTCTCTAGAATTGTCCCTGTCTTTAAGGAGATTATAATTTTGGGGGAGAAGCAAACAGAGACACAGCTGACAGTACCACCCTGGACACATCAAAGCACTTAAATGGGCCTCTGTAGGTGAAGATGGGAGAGGGAGGAGCTGGGCCAACTGACAAAGACCTGGGGGTAGGGACTGTGAGCACCTGGTGGGCCTAGGATGTGAGGTGGGTGGCAGCATGTTATGTATGATGGCAGGACTGGCAAAGTCAGTGGGTAGAGAGTCTTGAATACAATTCTAGTGGTTTGGATTTTATCCTAAAGTCAGTGAGGAGCCCTGGGAAGCTCTGAGCAGCAGAGATACATTATCATGTTAATATTTAGCAAGATGCATCTTTCATCAGCAAGGAGATGGATTAAAACAAGAGTCTGGAACTTGGGAGACCAGGCAGGAGCCTATTGATACTTAAAGCAGAGGTCATATTAACTGTATTGTTCTTTTCACATTGTTATCTACAGAGATGGTAAAAAGCTCAGGAAGTATCAGAGAAAGATATGTTCTCCTGTGTCTCCTCTTCTTGCAGGTAATAAGCTGGGGAGGTCCCATGGGGACTTTTCCAGGGGGAACTAAGGCAGGAGTCACAGGAAGACTGAGAATCCTAGAAAACAGTAGGCAGGCTCTCTTCCTGGTCACTTCCACATGGCTTGCTCCCTCACTTTGCAAATTGTTCTTCAAATGTCACTTCTGAGGTCTTCCTTGACTTCCCTATTTAAAAGGCAATCTTCCAAAATTTTCTTTCCTCCTTTCCTGCTTTTTTTCTTTCCCAAAAAACATATCTCCTCTAATATACTCTATATTTTACCTATTTTGTGTCTTTTCTATATTCTCCCATCCCTGCCTGACACAAAGACTCCATGAAGAGAGGGATTGTCTGTTCTGTTCACTGCCAAATCCCTGGTGTCCAGAACAGTGCCTGGTTTGCAGTAGGCACTCAACAAATATTTGTTGAATGGATATAGGAATTGCTCTTTGCCCATTCTCTTAAGCACATCCCTTTCATCTTTGTTACAAGCCTAATTTTATTCTGCCTTTAATGATTATGGCTAGTTAAGTCTGCCTCTATCGCTTTCCTCAGCTCTTCAAAAATCAGGGAATGGAACTCTTCCAGAGCCTGGTGTGCAGTAAGTACTGATATTATTGAACCTGTTGATAAGGAAAGCATAGGAAATTGTGTGTTTTCTCCAAAGGAAGAATTTAAATCTCAGACACAAAGCGTGCAGGCCCTGAAGATGTGGGCTGGCATTACCTGTTGTTGTCAAAATCTGGCATATAGTAGGTCACCAATAATGTTAGCAGATGTTGCTTTTAAAGTTCCAGCAGTCAGTGTACAAAACTGTCCTTTTTCCTGTGGCCATGGACATAGTGACATTTTATTCATTCATTCATGCATGATTTATTTATTGAGCACCTGCCTCAGGGGACATTAGGTTGTCTCATTTTCTCAAAGATGAATGATCTTTTGGGAGCCTCTTGACGAGTTTCCGTGTCCAGGGCTTAATGTCTCTGCCTCTCTGATGTTCTCAGGGAGAACATCATCATGAAGGGAAGGGATTTCTTGGTATATTGTTTCATACTGGTTTAAGTTAATGAATCCTCTGTACTATGAATAGCCTTCCTGCCTGCCACTGTTCTTTCTTGTAGCCAGTCCTGCCCAGTTCTGCCAGACTTTCATCCCATCACTTACCTACTCAAGAAACTTCAGGGAGTCCCCATGACCTCTATATCTGGACCACCTCTAGTCAGGACTTTCAAAGCCAGTGGAACTTAGCTGGACTCTCCTAGCTAAGGGGGCTTTCTGCTGCTAGTCCTTGCCAACCTCCAGTTCTATGTAGACAGGTTCACTTTCTGTTTTTTGTGCAGCCTGTATTCATTCTTACCTTTGAGCCTTTGTTCCTGCTCTTCCCTCTACCACTGAGACCCTCATCCCTTCCTTCTATTTTCTGACAGTTTACAACTATAGGGCTTTTCTCAAAGTCTGTCTGACCCATTACACTATCTCTGATTACTCAGCACTGATCTCCTCCTTCCCAGAACCCTTAACCATGGGCACTAGTAGCAAATTTAACTTGTTTTCTGGGTTGGTAGTTCTCAGGCTCACTCAGGTCGGAGAGTGCTAGGGCATCTGGTGTGCTTTAGGGAAACTTTGGCCTATTTATATCTGAAATTCCAAAGTATAAAACTTGCTGAAGATTACATCATTTGTGATAATTATTAACTTGCAGCCCTGAAATAATAAGCTGTCAAAGTAAGTAAGATTGGTCATTTCTTTTTTTTTTTTTTTTTTTTTTTTTTTTTTTGGGAGTTTTTTTTGCTGGGGGGCCGTGTGGGGTGGCGGCGATCGGTGGTTGTGGCGCCCCTGCGTGTTTTTCTTATTGATCATACTTTGCTTTGAGTATGATTTGAGCAGTTTGTTCTGCTCATTTTACTGATGCAGCAGGCTATCAGGAGTAGGTATCAGTAGTTTAAGAAAATGAAATGGGAGGAAAAAAGCCATCCTTAAATTTGGGAATACTTTTTCTACTCACTTTTTTCCTGTAAGTCAGGCAAATCCTACTATTTTCTATTCTACCAGTGAAAACACTTTTGTCCAGTTTTTTTCTTGGTAGCACAGTCAGATGTAAACTCCTCTGGGACAAGGACTTTGGCTGTCTTATTTACAGTTGTGTCCCTGGGCCCAGCCCAGGGCCTGGCACATGGCAGGCTCTCACAGTGTTGTTGAATGAATGTGAGAATAAGTACTTGAATGAGTGCATTAAAGAATCACTGCTCTTGGTGTTTTAGGTTTGTTGGTTCTTTCTCCTGAGAGACAATGCCTCCTAGTTCTAGAATGAATCCTGGATCTTATAGTTGTTTAATAGTGTATGATGGGTGGATGGGTGGATGGATGTCTCCCATAGTATTTAACAGTTGGAGTTAGTAGTGAGGGCCATGCAAGAGGGATTAGTATCTATGTGATAACTGAGCTTACCAAGGCTGTTCAGGGGCTGATCACTGTCAGGATCCTGTGATTGAATAAAAAACAGTCAGTGAATTGAAGGAGAAACCTCTCAGTTTGGGGCTAACAGGCCAGGGGAGGTTCTTGGTTCTTTGTCTGTATTCCTTTCTCCCTGATGAATCTAAGTTGGAGGATCTCTGTGACATTCAAATAACTGGTGGAAAATATAAAATTCAGTTATATGTCTACATGTTCTGGTACAACTGGTTTACTAATTGCAGCAAATAGTTGATGAAATGACCAGTTGCTGTCTTGTTCTATGTATTGCTGAATTTCTTAAAATGATTCTGCTTTACTGACTATTTTGTCAATCATTTGTCCACTTTTAAAAAAATCTTCACTTGAGGATATGTTTTTATTGATTTTAGAAAGAGAAGAATGGAGAGAGAGAGCATTAGAGAGAGAGAGAAAGAGAGAGAGAGAGAGAGAGAGAGAGAGAGAGAGAGAGAGAGAGAGAGAGAGATTGCTTGGTTAGCTCCTATACACACCCTGACTTGGGATCAAATCTGCAACCTTTTGGTATATGGGACAATACTCCAACCAATTCAGCCATCTGGCCTGGGCCATTTGTCTTCTTTTACAGAAGTAGTTCTGTAAACACTTGAATAGTACTCTACAAAAGGGTTACTCCAGTGGCCAATTAGTGCCAAAACATGCTCAATATCATTACGCAAATGCAAGTTCAAACCACAATGAAATATCTCTATATAGACACCAGAATGGCTAAAATTAAAAAGGCTGATAACACTGTTCATGAGGATGTGGAGAACTGGAATTCTCATGCATTGTTGGTGGGAGTGTAAATTGGTTTGGAAATGCTTTGGAAAATAGTCTGTCTGAGTCTACTAAAGCTAAACACATGACTATTCTATGATTCCATGACCCAGTAATTATAGCCAAGAGAAACAAATGCATATACCTAGCAAGAAACCTGTACATGAGTGCTTATAGTAGCTTCATTCATAATAGCTAAAAATTGGAAAACCTCAAGACATCAATCACTGGTATATTCATATAATGGAATATAATTCAACAATGGACAAGAACTAATGCTACATGAATGAATCTCAGGCATAATAATGAAGAAAAGAGACTAGACACAAAAAAGCATTGTCTGTATGATTTCATTTATATAAAGTTTAAATGCTAAAGTTAATCTATGGTGATAGAATTCGGAATAGTGGGGAGGTAAGGAATATTATTGAAAGGAACATAATGGAGCCTTCTGTAGTGTTGGAGAACTTCCATTTCATGATCTAAGTCTTGGCTACATGGGGTACATATGTAAAAAGTCACTAAGTGGCATACTTTAGATCTGAATACTGAATATATATTACACCTAATAAAACAAACAGGCAGACAAACATACAAAACCACTAGAGCACTAACGCATTTCTATGAGTGTAGTCTTAAGTCACCAGTGACACCCATACACAAATACATTCAAGGCTTTGTGCTTCCGCTTAGTCACACCACTTTCAGTGCACTCAGCACACAGCCAGCCACACAGGGGCACACATGGGAAGGGGCCACACACAAAGGCTCATATGCAGGGTATCTGCACACCTTTCTGCAAAGCAAAGGGTAAGGGAGAGAGTGCTGCCAATATTTATGCTTTCTGATAATACTTCCCTTGCTCTTGTGCCTTCCCAAAACCTCTCTTCTCTTTCTTCCCTTTCCCAATATGGCACAGGAGCTGGAATACCCAGGCTAGAAACAGCAGGTCTGCCAAGCTCTAGGTCTCTACCCAGGGACTGGCCTGCTATTGTGTTGAGAATCTGACTGTGCTCACTTATGATGGGTGGAGAAACCACAGGACCCTAGACATTTCTGGCTGGGGATTTTTCCAGTCTCATTTGAGAGAGAGTGTGTGTCTAGAGACATGGGGGGTGAGGTCCCCAGGTGGTACCTGCTCCCATGGCTGAGCATGGCAGACACAGTCATTGGGAGAAGGAGGTCTTTCTTCCAAAACTCTTTAGTCTGCTGGAGGGACATGCCTGGCTTTGTCCTTTGGTGACACTAGGACATGGGCAGCTGGGAGATATAGCAGATACAGCCAGGCTTCCAAGTCTGCAGGGGCTGAGTTGTAATACAGGCTCTGCTTCTTATTAACTTTGAGCCTTTGGGTAAGATAATAAACTTCTCTGAGCTTTAGGTTTACCCTCTGTAAAGTGGGGAAAATATACCTACTTCTGAGTGCTACTGTGAGGATGGACAGTGCCTGGCTCACACACTGAGTCCCCACCCTGTGCCCTTTCTTCCTGTGCTCCCACAAGATTTGGTATGGACTTTATTACATCACTCTGCCATTGGGTCCATTTGTTAGTGCCTTTGTGCCCTCAGTGTTTTGCATTGGGCTTGTACCTGGTAAAGACTGGATAAATGACTGCTACATAGAACTGAACTCTAGCCTCTGCACTGAAGTTCATTTCTAGCCATTTTCCTCCAAAATCACTGGGGCCTGGATGGGGGTCAATTTCCAGAATAGTGACGACAATGAATCGGGCCACTCTGCCTTGCTATGGCTACAGAGTCAGGTGATGATAATACCAGCAGTAATCTATATACAACTGGCACATAACAGCTGACAAAGTCCTTTGTCTAAGTCAAATTTAAGGGTTAATAGGATTGATACCAATTGTCCGATAACCAGTATGTGTAGCATTAAATAATTAAGTACCCTTTAAAAATCCTCACCTGAGAATATATATACTGATTTGAGAGAAAGAGAGAGGGATAGACAGAAACATCAATCAGTCACCTCCCGTGAGTGTCCCAACCAGGATCAAACCCACAACCTTAGGTATGTGACCTGACCTGGGATTGAACCTGCATGTTTTAATGTATGGGACAACACTCCAACCAACTGAGCAATCCAGTCAGGGAAATATTTAAGTGTTAGATTAAACAAATATTTGTTGAGTGTCTGTGTTGTTTCAGCCATTGCTCTCGGAATTGTGGATTCAGACAAATGAGAAATGATTGCAGCAGGGGAGAGAAGTGCTCATACTAGACAGGTGAGGCGCTATCCTAATCTTGGGTAAGACAGGGATTGGGGGTGAAGGGGAGTAGTTAGGGGAGGACAAGTTATACACAGATAAACAAGAAAAGATCAGAGAGTGATGGGTGATATGCTGAAAGGAAAGCAGGTTATAGGAGACAGTGGCTGGATGGACAGTTAATGTGGGAGGTATAGGGAGGGTATAGGGAGGGTTAGGATGGTTAGGGAGGGCCTCTGGGCTGAGATGTGAAGTAGCCAGGCAAGCAAGCAGGGAGGCAGCAGCAAGCTTGGTGTTAGAGGAACAGAATAGAAATCCAAGTGGCTGGATCAAAGGAGGATAGGAGAAGGGGGGAAAGAGACTGGTAGTGGAAAGATTCAGCATGTGGATAGTCTTTGCCAGTAGACTGGACACTCTTGGGTTTTTAGTGAGCAGGTGACAGGTTATTTGCTGGGATGTGAGAGGCTACAAGACGGGCTGGTTGGAGGGGGTATCATGGACATCCATTTAGTGGCCCTTCCTCTGTCAACTCATTCTTTTTCCCTGGGTCTTCCTGCATATACAAGGCCTGCATAAGTTGAAGTAGGTAGGGCAAGTCCCCTTTGTTTACTATTAATTCTGTGAATATTGACTGTATGCCTTTGATGTACCTGTAATGTGCTAGAAGCTAAGACACAGAGGGAACAAAAGATGCTTACAATCTACATTTTCTGGGGCCTTGAATTTCTTATCCTCAAACTGAGTGACCTCAGTACTTCTTTTATTAATATGTTTTCAACTGCTCTCCACTGAATAGTGGTTATACAGAAAAATTTCACACCTTTTTAGAAACAAAGGAAAAAGAGAATATAATAAACTAAATGAAAACTGCAGGCTAGAATTAGAGGGACTGTAGCTGTCTTGATAATTATTCCATCCCTGGGGTCTCCTACAGTGCTTGGCACATAGCGGGTATTTAACAAATATTTGTTGAATTAAATAATGAAGGAAAATATCTCAGTTTCAAGTTTCAGCCCCACGCCAGCCTGGAAGACACTGACTGTGGTATATTCAACCAGTGGAACATTATGCTGCAGTCAAAACAAATAGAGTATGGTGCCACAAAATAATGTAGATGGTGCTAGCAATTCAATCTTGGAGAATAAAGTAAGTCCCAGAGACTTACTTTACAACAGAGAACACAGAATCTTTTCCATAAAAAAGCAAGGAAATGATGAACACAGGGTTCGGGGTGGTCCTGACTTTGTGAGGGCTTTCTACCACATTCCCTGGCCTATCACAGATATGCAATCAAGACTTTTCAAGATGTGCAAACAAAAGAGACTTGCTCACCTACCTCAGCAGAAGGATCTCATAATTAGATGTAGGTTATTGTTAAGTCCTAGCTTTTGTTTTGTGTGGTGAATTTATGGAAGCTTATTACATTGTTAAAACCATCTAACTAGCTGGTGAGTTACAAGAGGGTCCTGCATGAACCAATAGTGAAGAATCAAGGATTATGACCCATTTAGTGCTGTGCACCTACTGGTCAAAGAGAAGATAAAAAACCAGCTGCCTGCCTGCACTGAGGATTGAAGGAGTCCAACTGCTATCCTGTTTCTATTCTGCTTCTCCTGCTGCCTACCTTCCATTCAGTGGCCTACTCTTTGGCTTTTGTTGAAGTCTCTCTGGCAAACATTTTTGATACAGAGATCAGAGATGATGGGTTGCTAAATCTCTGGGAAGGGGAGTTGCTGGAGGTCACAGGTATTAGGGTTATGGTCAAGGAAGTGTGGATATATTTATTCCCAGCTTGATTTGGCCCCTGGCCATGATGGCCAGGCCCAGCACAGACCATGGGAAGGCATCAGTCTTGTCCTTTGTATTGGGGCTGCTGGCTGGGTCAGGCCTGTCTGCTCTGTTGATTCAGTCTGTGCAGAGCCCTGACTCATGGATCCAGCCCAACCAGTGTTCAATTTAGGGCACTTCTGGGAATGAAGCTCCTGCTGTCTGGAATACTGAGGGGCAG